TTAAACACCTCTCTTGACCATTTCCCCCCCTTTGTAAGAGAGAAAGGGCAGGTCTCAGGCCCTCAGCTTCAAGCAGGCAGCAGTACGTCGCCAGAATCAACCAACATTGGAGATTTATTTATTGATTGCTAGTTTTCTTCTGTTAGTCATTCATGATCCTGGTTTTCCATATGTCGTCCTGACATAAAATTTCCTTTTAAGTCATTGTATTTAAGTTTTTTTTTTTAAAGGAGGGGAGGGCAATAAGGCATTCATATAAAAAAATTGGGAAATAATAGGAATGTAATTAAGTAAATAATATCAAGGGGTAAAGGCGTCTGGCAAAAATGATGTGGGTGGTGTTCAGATGATGGAAACCAAACCTGACCCCACTCCATTGGGGGTGCATGTGGACATATTCCCTGTCCGAGCCCTCGGGGTTCAATGAGATGATGCAAGTTCAAAGCACTAGGCAGTGTCCGGCCAGAGAAAGTGTTTGATCCACAGGGCTGGACTTGTGGTTTTCTCTGGGAAACTCCGATTAGCGGGAGACTCACGGACCTCTCAGAATGCTGGCCCCTCTGTCTTCCAAAACCCAGGACCAAGAGAATAGAAGTGATTGGAGCACATTTAGTAGCTGTGTGACCTTGGGAACGTTACTTAACTTCTCTGTGCCTCACTTTCCTCATCTATAAAAATGGGAACAATCATTATTCCTACTTCTTAAGGCTGATGTGAAGAGTAAACGAGCTAAAATGTGAAAGGCATCTAAAACAGCGTAGGATAAATGTGAAAAAAATTTTAGCAGTTATTATTATTATAAACTCCCACACTATGTTTGGCACGGCACTGGACTATTTCTGTATCTTCTCTTAACTTAGACTCATAATATCCTTTTGGGGGGTGCGAGTCCTCTCCACTTCACACTGAGGAGAATGAGGCTCAGAAATGCACAGTCTCCCACCCAGGCTCCCCTGTCTCATTGTTTCAGAGCCAAGACCCAAGCCCGGGTCTTCCCAACTCTAAGGCCATGCTCTTTCCATCATTAACTTCTCTGAGTCTCAGCTTGCTTGCCTGCAGAATGGGAGAGTTCGAGCACACCTTGAGCATTAGATAAAAAGGAAGAAGTTATGGTGCAGGCACAGTCTGTGATTTCATTCAGCCCAAATAATAACCAGGGAGGAAGGCAACATTATGGCCATATTATAAAGGAAGAAACTGAGGCCCAGGGAGTAAAATGACTTGCCCAATGTGACGAAGCAAATATTTGGGATGAAAATCCAGTTCTGATTCCAAAGACTCAAAACTGGGGAGGAAATGACCATTTTCCTGGTCACCCACCTAAATCCCCCCACCTAAGAATTAGGAAAATGCAAGAAGGTGGGTCTCTGACCTTACAGGTGTGCTACCATCCCCTAAACAGATCCACCAGCCCAGAACAAGTGTGCTGCTAGCCAGACTTGATACCTTTGAGCAAATTCGGAAAAGGGGCTCTTCCTCAGGCGGATCTAGCACTGCACCAGGGTGCACGGCTCAGCATGTGGCACGCAGGCTGGTTCAGTGTCACTTGCCTCCTCAAGGCCCTTTGTGCACACAGGCTGGTTCAGTCTCACTTGCCTCCTCAAGGCCCTTTGTGCAGTGCACAGCCTGCACAACACTCTGTAGCAGTCCTGCCTAGAACACCCCCAAACTCCCCCTCCTCAAAGCATCTTTAGAAAGAGTCACCTGTGAGTACCCACTGCAACAACTCATCTTGGCCAGATGATCGGTCCAGCTTAATTTGCTGTCAGTGGGTACAAGGCAGGAAAGGGAGCAGGACTTCTCTGCAAACACTTGGGGCTGGTGCTTATTTGCAAGGCTGCTTTAACAGTCTCGTCTGTACCCACTAGCCGCCCAAGGCCACTCTCGAAACCTCCAACTCCCAGGATGGCCATTCTCGGAAAACTTTGAGGCTGTCCCTCCAGCAGCGTCCTGACTTTCTAAGTCTCCAGCACTCTCGGGAGAGAGAGCTGGGACCTCCAGTGGCGCTGGAATTGCAGCCACTGCATTCCAGAAGTGCATCCCACTCCTTTTCATCCCTGCTGACAGTGGTCCTGAGCCAGGAGGATATAATGTCAGAATTGTTCCCCCTGAGATCTGCCCTTCGGATTAACCCCAGCTTCCCTGCGGACCCGCTCACCAGTCACCAGCAGACAGGTGCCTGAGGGCCAGCCCTTTCAACCACACAGACTCCTAGGACATCAGAGCAGTGGTGGCCTGGAGACGCCATCAGCTGGAAAACCAGGACCCAACAAGAAGCAAATGGCAAATGCCTGAGCATCTTGAACTTCTTTCCTTATCTGAGATCTGCGATTTTGCAAAAGTTTTTGGGAATCTATATGTGCACTACAACCTGTATGGTGGTTCCAGAATTTCTACGTGAGAGGCTTAGAAGTCTGACATTGGGGGGTGGGGGCAGACACCGAGGACACTGGCAATGAAGCTACATTTGCACAGCAAACACAGTGGCTTTAAGTTAGACCACCAGCCTCTGTGTGGGGAGGTTATCACAGGGTTAAAACCGGTTAAGATGACAGGAATTATCTTGAAGCTGTGTTTGCAGAGCAAACCCACTCTGTTTTCTTTAAATGTAGGTCACAGATCAATAAAAACAGCAATCTTCTCTGTTCAGTGTTCTCTAAGGATGCTTTTATTCACGTTGTACATTAGATTGAGAAACACATCAGTTATTAATATCCAAGAATATAATAATGATAATTATATATATATATTATTTCATGGGCGAGGGGGCTTCGAGTATGCTGATAGAGATTTTGAGGGAGGCTAAGGTCTCCCAAGAAGCCAGACCTGCCTCCTGGAAGAAGGCCCTGGTTTATCAGCCACTTAAAGAGGTAGCAACATCAAGGGTCACACAAAGGCCCCCACCAGGGAACTGTCGGGAACCAGGAGAGGTTCTGACTGAGTTATAACTAAGGAAAGCATGGCGGCTAGAAGTACACACTGCATTCTGGCTTGTACAGGCTGTGTGACCTCAGGCAAGTCACCTAACCTTGCTGAACTTCCATTTCCTCAGCTGTTCAACGGGGATGCTAATAGCAGCTGCCTCCCTGGTTGTGTGGACATCGTATGGGACAATGACTGAGAAGCTCTTAGCGTGGTTCCTGGCACATAGTAGGACTTAAGCATTCAATGAAACACCTTACTTATGAGGCTTACCAGCATGGCAGGGGGCTACAGGCACTCACTGTTAACTATGCACATCGTGGCTCATACGGAAGCCGATTCACCGTAAAGCTGATGAAGCTTAAGCCCCGGGCTCCTCCCAAGCTCCGCCCTGAATTTTGTATTTGTAAATCCGTATGCTTTTTCTTTAAGAGAGTCCCTCAAATACTATATGCTCTGGCCCCACAACACTTGGATCTGCCCCTGGGTTCACACATCTTGCTGGTGGGCAGAGCAAAGAGAAGCTTTCAGAACCCCCGCTGAGGAGACGGAGACCTGTGTGTTTCATCTCTTCCTGCCCGGAGCTCCACCTGGGGCCTCGCAGACCATCCATCCTTCCACCAACGATGCTTCACAAAGCAAGGTGACTTCCTCACTCAGCCCCTCGCATCAATTCTCGAAGCTAGCACAGCGATCGCCCCGTCATACAGACAAGGAAAGTGAGACCCAAAGAAGAAAGGAGTTTTGTCCAAAGTTCTGAGGTCAGCAAGTGGCCCAGGATGGGCTGGTTTTTGAAAAAGTGACCTAATCCTTATTCCAGCATTTACTTTTCCTCTGCCAGGTCAAGAAAGTCTAACAGCTTGGATAATTCCACACTAAAGAACTCGCTGGGTGTTAGCACTGGCTCTCCTTGGCACCACCTGGTATCACCTCCTCACTCCCTGTGCCCAAGGAGTGCCCCTTTCTCCAGGCAGCCCTCTCTGAACACCTCTCCCAGCTCCCTTGGTCTCTGCTGATGGGTGCTGGGTAATGCACCACTAAATTACACCCTCTCTTTACTTTTATTTTTATGAACATCTGTATCTCATTAAGGGATGGTATAGCAACTTCCTGGAGGTAGAAGCCTTGTCTTAGGAACCTAGTACCTTCCCATGATGTCCCGGATAGGCTGGGCACAGGTGAGGGACCCAACAGGGACCTGTGGTCCCGTCTCTTCTAGCCCCCATTGGTGTTGATTTTTGTCATGACACTGCTGACCTCACTCTGCAGCCTTTGATCTCGTAGGGATTACTTTCTTTGAGAGGCTAGAAACAGCTCGGGTTGTGGATTCTGACAAGCCAGGATGGAATCCCCACTCTGCTGCTTGCTATGTGATTCTGAGCAAGCCATTTCATCTCTCTGTGCCTCACTTCTCTTCTCTGGAAAATGGGGGGATAATCCTGCCCTCTGAGGGGCACTGAAAGGATTAAAGGAGATGATGCATGTAAGGCAAAGCCCAGCACTGCACCTGGCTCCTAGTAAGCCTTGATTAAATCTTGGCTGTCCCCATCATGTAAGGCGCCTGGAATAAGACCAGCCAGTGCGTTATTAGGCGCTTACTGTCTACCAAGCTCAGTTCTAAGAGACTGACATATATTGCCTCACTTAACATTCACAACCCTATGGTTGGCACTATCATTTCCCCCATTTTTACGTAGGAGTAAACTGAAGTTCAGGGAGGTTAAGTGACTTGCCTCAAGTCACACAGCTTGGCATTCATTAGCTGTTCCTTGTGATTATCAAGTGAAATGTGCAACACATCGCCCAGCACATAGTTAGAGCTCAATAAAGAGGAATCATTCCTGTAGAAGTGAGAAGATCCAGAAGGCTGCGCGGGAGCCAGGCTCCAAGGAGCAACTGGGAAAGGGGGATAGGGGTTCCGGGCGTTCACAGCGGCCCACGGCAGGGTAAAGGGGAGAGGGTCGAGGGGTCTAGTGACTCCCTAGACTGGGACCTCAGCGGTCCCCTGGCTCAGAGGCTGGGGAGGCGAGGGTCCCGCGGGGGCGCGATGCGGGGCGCACGGGCAGAGGAGGCGTTACCTTGGGCGGGAGGGCGAAGACCACCGGCAGCAGCGCGAGCGGCGCGAAGAGCAGCACCAGCAGCCGCCGCGCGCTCCACACCTTCTTGGCCAGCGCCGCCAGCGCCGCCATCTGCGCGATCGCCCGGAGCGGCCCCCGGGACTGCCCGCGCCGGGCCCCGCGCGCGCTTAAAGCCCGGGGGAGGGCCCGGGGAGGGGCTGCGCCGGGGACCCGCCCTCTGCCCGCTCCTGCCAGGGGAAGAGGGTGGTGCCCGCTCCCCCGGGCCGCGCGAGAGAGGCTCGGGACCTTAGGAAAAGTTAGGCACGAGAACTGCGCGCGCGGACTCCAGCCCCGAGGGCAGCGGGTCCCGGGTTTAAACCTCGGGGCTCTCCAGCTGTGGGCCGGGGCAGCCGGCTTAACCTTTCCTCGCCGCTGTTTACTCGCCTGTGACAACGCGAGGATTCCAGCACTTCTAGTATTACCTGGTTCAGAGTCTGGCTCTGCCTTGAGCAACGGCCTCTGAGCCTCAGTTTACTCATCCGGAAAGTGGGGGTGATGATGATAAGGCTCTCTACCAGACAAGAGGTCTGCTGGCGAGTTTAAAGGAGATAATGCACTTAACGCGCTTCGCACAGTGCCTGGCGCAGAGCAAGCGCTCAGTGGGGATTGTTATTGCTGTTGATACTGTTGTTCTTATTTTCTCCCAGAGAGGGTCGGTCATCTGCAGGTCTGAGCCTGGAGGAGTCTTTTCGTTCCTCTTGGGTCAATGCACAGGAGGGCAGTTGCTGGGTTATACTGCAGTTGCATTCTTAGTTTTTTTAAGAAACTGCCAAACTGTTCTCCAAAGTGTCTGCACCGTTTTACGTTTCTATGAGCAATGCACGAGTGATCTCGTTTTCCACATTCCTGCCAGCATTTGGTGTTGTCACTATTTTTTCATTTTAGCCATTCTGATCAGCGTGTAGAGATATTTCATTGTGGTTTTAATTTGTATTTTCCTAATGGCTAATGACGTTTAACATCTATTCATGTGCTTATTTGCCATCTGTATATCCTCTTTGGTGAATTCTCTCTTCCTGTCGTTCGCCGATTTTCTAATTGGACTGTCTGTTTTCTGCTGTTGAGTTTTGAGAGTACTTTATATATGTCCGATATGTTGTTTGCAAATATTTTCTCCCAGTCTATAGCTTGTCTTTTCATCCTCTTAAGAGAACCTTTCACAGAGCAAACGTTTGTAATTTTGGTGGAATCAAATTGATCACTTTTTCCTTTTTTGGGATCATGCTTTCTGTCGAACTCTTTGCATAGACCTAGATCCTGAAGATTTTCTCATATCTTTATATGTTTGATAGTTTATAGTTTTATATTTAAGTCCATGACTTAATTTTTATATAAAGTGTGAGACTGAAGGTGAAGTTCTTTTTTCTTCTTTCTTTTCTTTCTTTTTTTTTTTTTTTGTGCCTATCATTGACCAATTGCTGCAGCATCATTCGTTTAAAAAGTTATCTTTAGGGGCCAGCCCCTTGGCGTAGTGGTGAAGTTCAGCTCGCTCTGCTCCAGCGACCAGAGTTCTGGGGTTCAGATCCCCAGCATGGACCTACACCACTAGTCAGGCATACTGTGGCAGCATCCCACATACAAAATAGAGGAAGATTGGCACCCATGTTAGCTCAGGGCAAATCTTCCTCAAGCAAAAAAAGAGGAAGATTGGCGACAGATGTTAGCTCACAGCAAATCTTCCTCACCAAAAAAAAAAAAAAAAAAAACTTATCTTTATTCCATTGAGTTGCTTTTGCACTTTTGTCAAAAATCAATTGGGCATATTTGATGTTTTTTTCTGCATTCTCCATTCTGTTCTCTTGATCTAACTGTCTATCCCCTTACCAATACCACACAGTCTTGATGACTGTAACTATATAATGAGTCTTGAAATTGGGGAGACTGATTCCTCCCACTTTATTCTTCTTTTTCAAAACTGTTTTAGCTATTCTAGTTCCTTTGCATTTGCATGTAAATTTTTAGAATAATCATGTCTATATCTACAAAAATTCTTGCTGGGATATTGGTAGGAATTGCATTAAATTTGTATATCAATTTGAAGAGAATTGACGTCTTTGCTATGTTGAGTCCTCCAATCCATGAACATGGCATGTCTCTCCATTATTTAGATCTTCTTTAATTTCTCTGATCAGCATTTTGTATTTCTCAGCCTAAATGTCCCATACATGTTTTGTTAGATTTACACATAAGTATTACATTTTTTGAGCAATGTAAACGGTATTCTATTTTTTTCAGTGTCCATATGCTCACCACTAGTATACAGAAATAAAATTGAATTTTGTATGTTTATCTTGTATCCTGCAACCTTGCTCAATTTATCTATTAGTTCTAGGAGTTTTTCCCTCAAATTTTGGACTTGCCACATAGACAATCACGTTGTCTGCAAAAAGGGACAGTTTTACTTCTTCCTTTCTGAAATGTATGCCTTTTATTTACTTTTCTTGCTTTATTGCACTGGCTAGAACTTCAAGCACTATGGTTGAATAAGAGTGTGAGAATGGGGGCTGGCCTAGTTGTGTAGCGGTTAAGTTCGCACGCTCCACTTCAGTGGCCTGGGGTTCATGGGTTCAGATCCTGGGTGTGGACCTACACACTGCTCATCAATCCATGCTGTGGTGGCATCCCACATACAAAATAAAGGAAGTTTGGCACAGCTGTTAGCTCGGGGCTAATCTTCCTCAGCAAAAAGAGGAAGATTGGCAACAGATGTTAGCTCAGGAGCCAATCTTCCTCACCAAAAAAAAAAAAAAAAAGAATGTGAGAATGGACATTCTTGCATGGTTCACAGTCTTAGGGAGAAAGCAGCCAATCACACCATTAAGTATAATGTTAGCAGTAGGTATTTTGTAAATGCTCCTTATCAAATTGAGGAAGTTTCCATCTATTCCTATTTTTCTAAGAGTTTTTATCATGAGTGGGTTGAATTTTATCAAATGGGTTTTTTTGGCATCAATTGATATGATCAAGTGATTTTTCTTCTTTAGCCTATTAATATGTTGGATTGCATTGATTGGTTTTCAAATATTGAACCAGCCTTGTATCCCTGGGGAAAATACCACTTAGTCATGATGTATAATTATTTTTATATTTTGTTGAAATCTATTTGCTAATATTTTATTAAGGATTTTTACGACTATAATCATGAGGAATATTGTCTGTAGTTTTCCCTTTTTTATTGCCTTTGTCTGGTTTTGGTATCTGGATAATACTAGCCTCATAAAATGAGTTGGGAATTATTCCTTTCTCTTCTATTTTTTAGAAGAGATTGCATGGAATTGGTGTTAACTCTTGTTTAAGTATTTGGTAGAATTCCCCAGGGAAACCATCTAGGCCTGGAGATTCCTTCTTTGGAAGGTTTTAAATTCAATTTCCTTAATAGTTATAGGGCTATTTGAATTATCTATTTCATATTGAATGCATTGTGGTAATCTCTGTTTTTTGAGGAGTTGGTCAAACTACTCAAATTTCATCTAAGTTGTCAAATTTCTGTGTGTAGAGTTTGTTGTATTCCCTTTTGATGTCTGCAGGTTTTATAGTGATAGCCCCGATTTATTCATTCATTCCTGATTCATTCATTTAGTAACTTGTATCTTCTCTCTCTCTTTTTCTTTGTCAATCTTACTAGAGATTTTTCAATTTAATTCTCTTTTCAAAGAACCAACTCTTAGAAGTTGTTTTCCTGTTTTTAATTTCATTGATTTCTGGTCTTATCTTCCTTTTTTCTGTCCTTCTGCTCACTCTTCTTTTTCTAGGATATTGAGGTGGGTGCTTAGATTACTGATTTGAGATTTTTCCTCTTTCATAAGGTATGCATTTAATAATAAAAATTCACCTTTATGCACTGCTTTGGCTGTGTCCCACAAATTTTATATGTTGTATTTTCATTATCATTCAGTGTAATATTTTTTATTTTCCCTTGAGACTTCTTCTTTGACCCATGGTTTATTTAGAAGTGAGTAGTTTCTATGTGTTTGGAGATTTTCCTATTATCTTTCTGTTATTGGTTTCTAATTTGATTCCATTATGGTCAAAGAACCATAACTCTGTAAGATTTCAATTATTTTAACTTTGTTGAGGTTTGTATTGTGGCCCAGCATAACTATCTTACTATATGTTTCATGGTCACTTGAAAGAATGTGTGTTCTGCTGTTGCTGGGTGGATTGTTCTATAAATGTTAACTAGATTCTTTTGTTTGATGGTATTGTTGAGTTCTTCTATATTCCTGCTGATTCTGTCTAGTTGTTCTATCAATTACTGAGACAAGGGCATTGAAGTCTTAAGCTATAATTGTACATTTGTGTATTTCTCCTTTCAGTTCTATCAGTTTTTGCTTCCTATATTTTGTAGCTCTGTTTTTTGGTGTATACACATTTAAGATTGCTAAATATTTTGGTAGATTGACCCCTTCATTATTATGTAATGTTTCTCTCTGTCTCTGGTAACTTTCTTTGCTCCAAAGTCTACCTCATTTGATATTAATGTAGACCCTTCTGCTTTCTTTTGATTAATGTTTGCCTGATATATCTTTTTACATCTTTTTATTTTCAACATGCATATATCATTATATTTGAAGTGAGTTTCTTGCAGACAGCTTATAGTTGGGTCATGCTTTTAAATCCACTCTGCCAAGCTCTGTCTTTTAATTGGTGTTTTTAGACCATTTACATTTAATGTAATTCTTGATATGTTAGGGCTTAAATCTGCCATTTTGTTCTCTGTATGTTCTCTCTCTCTCTCTCTCTCTCTCTCTCTCACTATTTCTCTATTTTCTTTTTCCTGCCTTCCTGTGGGTTACTTGAACATTTTTTAGAATTCCATTTTGATTTTTATATAGTGATTTTGAGTGCATTTATTTGTATGGGTTTTTTAGTGCTTGCTCTGGGTCTTACACTGTGTGTACATAACTTACCATAGTCTACTGGTACCAATTCCAGTGAAGTGTGGAAACCTTACCTCCCTTTACGTCCCTTCACCTTACCCTGTTGTAATATTATTGTCTTATATTTCCTCCTCCTACATTTAGAGCCACATCAGACAGTATTATAATTTTTGCTATGATCATTAAACATAATTTAGAAAACCCAAGAGAAAAAAGAGCTTATTGTGT